CTCCCTCCTCCTCCTCCCTCCTCCCTCCTCCCTCCCTCCCCCTCCTCCTCCCTCCTCCTCCTCCTCCCTCCTCCTCCTCCTCCTACCTCTCCCTCCCTCCTCCCTCCTCCCTTCCCTCCTTCCCTCCCTCCCTCCTCCTCCTCCTCCTCCTCCTCACGTGCTCCGTTTAATAACCGGGGATCTTCGATGTATGTGTTTTGCACCAAATGGTATTCCGGTCACACTAAACTTTCCAGACTCTGGATGTGCACCTGGCGAAGCGGGTCGAATCGCAGAGGACAAGCGAGATGACGTTTTTTATCGCAGGAAAGCCAGACCCATGATCATGTGCACCGCATGCACGGCTTGAGCGCTGGTCTAAATCTGGCCTCCCTGCCGGCTCGGACCGAAAAAAGCAGCAACGGCGCAGGCATGGATCATTCAGCTCTTGGAATACATGTCTAAGCTCGCTAGACTGGGCGCGCACACAGGCCGACGAACATTACGGCAGTGGACCTGGGCTCGCAGTGGCCCCGGACCGATGGTACAGAAATGTCGGATGTGTATCTGTCCCCGGCTGTGCAACCAGACGCACGAGGCACTGCTACACAACTGACTCAGCAAGACTCTACACGTGCTGCGCCACGCGGGCCCGGAAGGCGGGGGAACAACAACCGACGTGTTATCACGGCGGCGCATGCTTTGCGCTCAACCGTGCCTCACAGTCGGGGATGTGCTTCACGCTCGGGCGCATGCCTCCACGGACCTGCAAAGCTGCATCGTGTTTTTGGACGGGCGGGTGCGACTGCTAAACCATGCCGCCCTTCCTGTCGACAAACGACCCCTCCCCGAAGGACTGCATGCAGGGGGTGCCATACTGAATTAGAGAATGAACGTGTTACCCACGATCTCTTCTCACCCAAGATCTGGTGTGGATGTGGTTGTGCTTCTTATCTCTGGTCCTGAGGAAGGCCACGCAACATCCTCGTTGAGGCGCTGGGGTTCGCGATACCACCCGAAACCTCCAGAGTCACACTCGGAAACCAAAAACCTGCATACCAGCATGCATCCCAGGCCACGGCGACCAGCCCTGCGCCATAGCCCATACTGCAAGCGACGCCACGCTGGGCCCAGAGTGCAGGAGGGTGCCCCACGAGGTCACGAAAGCCTTGGCGATACCACCAGTGAAGTAGCCCTCGAAGACGCCCTCGAAAACCGCGGACTTGTCCACGATGCCAGAACCAGCGATGCTCGCAAACATGTCCCGGAGATACCGGTCCCAGAATGTGCATAGAAAGAAGCTGGACGCCCAGGAAAGAGAACGAGACAAAGAGCTTGTCCCCGAGGAACACAAGAGTCCTGGTCGCCATTTCGCGAAGGTCGCAAACAAAAAGGCCAAGCTGGATCGCACACCAGAGGAGCAAGCCACATCCGAGAAGCAGACCAAGCCGTAGAAGCAGATGCGGTACCGTTTTTTCAGCGGCGGGCGATTGTGCTTCACGCCCTCCTCCAACTCACAATTGGATCTCCTGATGGGAGGTCAACGCGAGGCTCCCATCGTCCTGGAGGTAGGAACGGAAAACTCGCCCAGCTGCGATAGATTTAGATCCCAAACTGTATCGCTGGAGGCGCCAAGGGCCCTTGCCTTGCCGCTCCATTGGGGAGCGACTTGCAGGTCCCCACAGTAGCCCACCACTCGGCGAATGTCACGGCGCCGCTCTCCGCGGCGTCGACGTTGCTGACCAGGTCCCTGACCAGAGCGCGCTCGAGACCGACCCCCAGAAGGTTCAGCGCTTGGTTGGTGACCTCCACGTCCTCCTTCTCCTCCTCCCCCTCCTCCTCCCCCTCCTCCTCCCCCCCCCTCCTCCTCCCCTCCTCCTCCGCCCGCGTCCTCCCTCCTCCTCCTCCTCCTCCTCCTCCTCCTCCTCCTCCTCCTCCTCCTCCTCCTCCTCCTCCTCCTCCTCCTCCTCCTCCTCCTCCTCCTCCCCTGTTCCTCTTCTGGTCAGGGTCGTGACCTCTTCGCAGCGAGGGAGGGTGCAGGGTCGCCGGCGCCTGCGGGCGCAGCGGCGGCCGCGGCCTCGGCGCCGCTCTCGCGGTAGTAGGAACCCGTGGCCGGGTCGTAGAGGAGCCCGCCCCCCGCGGGCGTGGCGCCAGTCAGCGACGGCGGCGCCGGCGGTATCGCCGAGGGCTCCGCCTGGCTGCCCTGAGGCCCTGGCTTTGCAGCTTCTGCACGCCGGGCGTTTTCGCCCCCTGTGGGGCTTGGGAGCCCTCACAGATCGATCCGGCTCGAGACATGGCGCAAGAAGATAGGGTCCGGGGCTCCGGTCGTGATTTTCTGCGATGCTGCAACTTTTGCGCAACGTCAGATCTCAGGGCCACCCCTACCCAACCCAAGGACCCAAACTTCGGGTGGGGCCACATGTGTTTTTCAGCGTTCCCCGACGCCCCCCCCCAAACTGGGAATGGAAGGTAAATTGGGGCCCCTTCGGGTTGGGCCAGGGTGGTTTGGTGGGTGGTGACCGCCTGCAGCCCGGGAGACGGCGCCGCCTCCGGTGGCGCCGGGCGCGCCGGGTAGTAGCTCCCGCTGGCGGGGTCGTAGATCTGGTCCTCCGCCTTCGCTGCGCGGCCGGGACAGGTCGTTTGGGGGAAGCGGGCCTCCCGCGCCACGCGCTTTTTTCAGTCCGGGCGCTGTTGCTCCTCGATCCCGGCCCCTGCAGGGGCCTGTGATCGGGCCCCGGGGCCATCAGGAAGGGGTCCAGGGAGGGGGGGGGGCTACTTAGATGCGGTCAGGGCCTCTGCGGCCGCGGGTAGGAGAAAGTCGAATCAAATAGGTCTTACTAGAGGGCAGAAAATCCACCCCGAGAAGCGAGGCCGTTTAGTAAACGCACCCAAAGAAGGAATCGAACAGGGCAGGGCTGTTTAGTATACGCCCAAGGCCGTTTAGTAAAGGCCACGTATCGGGTCCGGGTGTTTTTGTTCCTCCCTTGACTTTCGCGAGATGAACACAGCCTTACGCGCCGGCTTACGCGGGCCGCCAGCACGACACGCCACATTGAAAACAAGGGCGCCTACGCGTGACCTTAGGCAGACAACTTACGCGCCAGTGTCAGGGAAAGCGGCCCCGTTTCCTTACGTCGCTCAGCGCTGAGATGCCAGGGTATGGGCACAGCGTCAAACAGCAGAGCCTGCTCAAAATGAACTTGAGGAGCTGTCAAGCGAGCTGACAGGCGGACGGCAATGCCTGCCCAAACGAGCAGGAACTGCTGCCGGGCACTGCACCCATTCTCCGACATCCGACGATGCGCTTTTTCCATGCACGGCCCAGAGGTCCCGAACCCTCCCCCGAGGCAAACTTCCAGCCCCACACCCATTGTCGATGGCCCCAGGGCCTCACAGGGGGCACAAGGAGCCGGGCCGAAAAATAAGAAATATATCCAGATTGAAAAATCACACTGTCGGAAGTCTAGGTTTCTCTCGTGCGAAGCAGCTGTTCTCTAGACTCCAGCAAGTTAACTTGCATGAAGAGAAAGGAGTGGGGGGTGGCGTGGCGAGGCCCGAAAGGAGATCTGGACATCGTGCAAGAGTCGTGAGCCACTTGCACGCATGTTCGGCCCGGCGCTGCTCGAAAAGGCGGTGGAGGCGGGGGGGGAGGGAGGGCAGGGAGGGGGGAGGGGTGGGGGAGGGGTGGGGGGGGAGGCGGAGCGAAACGCCATGCAAGCAGGCACGCCCCTTATTGTACCCCCTCCGGACGCGCACGCCTGCAGGCCGTCCAGCAGCCCCGCCCCGCCCTGGGCCCAGGCGACGCCCCACCACCTCGGGCGAGGAGTCCTCCTCCTCCTCCTCCTCCTCCTCCTCCTCCTCCTCCTCCTCCTCGTCCTCCTCCTCGTCCTCGTCCTCCTCCTCGTCCTCCTCCTGTCCAGGCCAATGCTGGGCTCAGGATCGGTGCACGCGCCTCCCTGGCCCAAGCCAGAAGGGCGCATGCACCCATCCTGGGCCTGGCTTTCCCAGCAAAGGCGCGCGTGCACACAGCAGGCACGTCCGAAATCAGAAGTTCTGGCGTAAGGAATCTTGCGGCACACTCCCCCCAGAAATCCGACGCTCCAAATTATCCTGGCGAAGGACCAAGCCATATGCAGTTGTGGGCGCCGCAATTGCCAATCTGTTCTTGGGTGAAGCTCCGAATGGGGCAACGAAGCGCTGCACTGCGTGGCAGGAAGCGCATGCGGGCGGTAGCACTAGCGCCGTCGGGGGAGCTCCCTATGGGGCCACGAAGCGTTCTACTAGGTTAGTGAAAATGCCAAATTGGTTTTTCAGGACGCATGCTGGCGGTCCCACTGGGGCCGTCCGTGGAGCTCCCTATGGGGCCACGAAACGCCGTACTGGGTGGGTGAAAATGCCAAATTGGGCTTCTGGGACGCATGCGGACGGTCCCACTGGGGCCGTCGGTGGAGCTCCCCATGCGGCCACGAAACGCTGTACTGGGTGGGTGAAAATGCCAAATTGGGCTTCTGGGACGTATGCGGACGGTCCCACTGGGGGCTTCGGTGGAGCTCCCTATGGGGCCACGAAACGCTGTACTGGATGCGTGAGAAATTCCAACTTGGACTCCCCGGACGCATGCGGACGGTCCCGCAGGGGGCTTCGGTGGAGCTCCCTATGGGGCCACGAAACGCTGCACTGGGTGCGCGAAACTGCCAAATAGGGCTGCCGGGACGCATGCGGTCGGTGGAGCTCCCTACGGGGCCACGAAGCGCTGTACTGGGTGGGTGAAAATGAAATCAGGTTTCCGGGGCGCATGCGGACGGTCCCACTGTGGGCTTCGGTGGAGCTCCCTATGAGGCTACGAAACGCTGTACTGCATGCGTGAAAAAATCCAATTCGGACTTCCCGGACGCATGCGGACGGTCCCACTGAGGACTTCTTCGGTGGAGACCCCTGCATGTGGGGCCACAAAACGCTGTACTGGGTGGGTAAAAATGCCAAATTGGATTTCCACGACGCGTGAGGACGGACCCACTGTGGGCTTCGGTGGAGCTCCTTATGGCACGTGGCGCCAGACACTCGCTCAGAATTTCCCATCCTACTTAAAGACCACATCCCAGAAATAATTTCGAGCACCCGGAAAAGAGTCGGAAGAGTGTCGAAACAGTGTCGATACAGTGTCGGGCGAGTGTCTCCCAGGGCCCCGCACGTGAGAACCCTCGAGTTTCGGTACTTTTTCTGGCGCTCGAAACTCTTTCTGGTGATCAAGCTTAGAAGCGTCAAGCTCTCACCCCCACACATCAGAGCTTGCTTCCTCGGCAGCGTCGCTGGCGCCAACTGACGTCGCCAAGCGGGGCGCCCCAGCGAGCGCCGGATCGGCCCCGCAACCATCGCCCACGAGCCAGGGGAGAACATAAGAAAGTACGACGCCAGAACCGAGGCCCATCCCCCCTGCCTGGAGGCCTGCCAAAGTCGGGCCGGGCGAAAGGAGGGGATAGCAAAGGGGGGGGGGTGAGAATCAGCTCACGTAGCTGATGTTCCCGGCGCCTCCCGGCGCCGGGAGGCGCCCATGTGTCGAGAAGTGGGCCTGGCGGCGGGGCCGAAACCAGCTGCATGCAGCAGATTTCGTACCCCCCCCCCCACCTTCCCTAATTATCCCCCCCTTTCGTCTGGCCCGACAAAGGGGTCCGAGTTGACGGGGTCGGAGGATCGCGCCGTATCGCCAATGCATCTTTGAAGTCGCCGACACATCGGCGATTCATCGGCGATGTGGCGCGATCCTCCGACCGCATCGACTCGGACCCCATCTGGAAGGCCTCTAACAAGGGGCTTGGAACTTTCCCTGATGGCGTTTCGCTGGAGGGTCCTAGTGGAGGCAAGGAAGGACCACAGAGGAGTCCCAACAGGGGAAATGCGTGAGCCCAAGACCACCTGGTCCGGCAGCCGCTCTACCTGAGACTCCCCCGCAACTTATGCAAGAGTCGTGGCCCTCGCCTCGACACTAGCTGCACTCCTGGTCCTGACGGCCACGACCCGTGGCAAAACACATGCCAAGGTTAGGGGAACAAAAAAAGCACAAACAGAAACTTTTGGAGCTCTGCGCGGATTTCCTGGGTCGGCGCTGGGACCCCCTCCCAACCTTCCACGAGAAACCCAATCCTGAGACCCCAGGACGTCCATCGATGTTTGGTGTGGGAACGTCACGCTCTCCATGGCAAAACCACCGAACCCCAAGAAACCCAGGGCACCCTGGAGGCAAGCAGGGTGTTTCTTGGCCTGGGTCCCACTGTGTTCCGTTTTTTCTCCTTCGAAAGATGCACCCCAGGAGGCCCAGACCCTCGCCTCGGCAACCACTGCGGCGATCCTTACGTAATATCGTTCGGTCGGGCGTGTCCTTCTACAGGCGGGTGCTGGGCGAACAAAAAGATCAACAAAAGCACTGAAACGCAAACAGAAGTAGTCAGAAAGAAACGTCCCTATAAGTTATCTTATCTTTCTGACTACCTTGCAAGAACTATCCCTCCTGCAGAGGGACAGGCCCGACTTCATGAGAGCGCTGCTCCCGACCACCGCGGCGTGCGCCCTGGCGCGGCGCCGCCCCGCGCCGGGCCCAGGCCGCAGCAGGCCACCAGCGCGGCCGCCGCCAGCAGCGCGGCCGCCGCGCCCGTGGCGCTGGCCCGGGCCAGCCCGGCGGGCTGCCCGCCCGGCCGCGGCGGCGCGGGCGCGGGGCCGCTGCTCGGCCGCGGCAGCAGCGCGGCGCTCTCGGGGGGGCGCCCCCTGCGCGGGCGGCCGCGCGACCAGGGGGCGCGCACGGATGCCGCGGCCCCTCCCTCGCACCGTCGCGGCCGCGTGGGCCCCGCAGGCCTGGTCAGAGCGCACCCCCGGAGAGGGCGGATACCGCTGCCGCGGCCCTGCCCTCGCCGTCGCGGCCGCATGGGCCGCGCAGGTCTGGTCAGAACGCGCCCCCGGAGAGGCAGCGGCGTTTGAAGGGGCCCAGGGACACACAAATAGATACACCCAAATCCCAGGATGCCCTACATTTTATCATACGTTTTGGAGTTTCGTCTTTCCCTCCACTTCCCATGTTTTCCCATATTTTCTGGGGAATCGACGATTACTTGTATCTGTGTGTTTTTCCCATCCTGAATATTCATACCCGCGGCATCCGCTCGTTGCGGGCAAATATTGCGACGGACGGTCTCTGGCGTGGGCCATTCTCGGCCTCCCGAAGCCTTCGCCGGGCCCAGGGATCGTCAAGAGACGGCTCTCCCTGCACAGGCGGCGGCACCATAGGAGCGGATAGCAGGAGAGGCAAAGGTACGCTGGATTCGCCGCCACTCTTCCCTCGTCGTCACGGCTGGATTGGCCTCGAAGTTCGGGTCGGAACACACCCCTGAAGAGATCCGTTCCTTCTTCCTCCTCCTCCTCCTCCTCCTGCTCCTCCTCCTCCTCCTCCTCCTCCTCCTCCTCCTCCTCCTCCTCCTCTTCCTCCTCCTGTTCCTCCTCCTCCTTCCCCCCCCCGCCCCCGCCCTAAAAAAATACGACTCCGTTCTCGGCCTCTCGGGGCCCTCGCCGGGCGCCGGGACGGTCAACCAAAAGATCCTGTGATATGAAAGCCCCAGGGACCTCTGGGGAGCCACTTCTTGAGTACGACGTCGGCTGTTCGGGGATGGACAGAATCCCCCTTGGTGAGACGTGGCTTGGTGAAAACGACCTCGGGCCCAAACCTGGCGGGCGCAAGCCTGGAAAATGACGGCCGCGGCGCCCTCGCCGCCGCGCGGTCCGTCACTGCACCGTCGGGGACCCCTGGAGGCCCCAGTCGCCCGAGACGCTCTCGGAGGGGGACAGCCCGAGTCCAACACCGCGCGGCCGGACCCCCGGATCCCTACGGACCCACCACACGGCGTCGTCACCACACCGTTCTCAGGCCTCCCGGGCTGTCCAAGAGTCCTTTTTGCTTCTTGCTTCAATACTGCCATGATGCGCATGCTATTATATTCACGCTGAAACTGGATACGGACGCCGCCTCCAGGAGGTATTCTAAGAAGGACGCACCTTCCTTTGCAGAGGCATGGTCGCACACACTTGCCAGATGTTGTTGTGATGTTGGTTGTAGCAATTGACCCCCGCACAACACCCTAATAGCAGCAAAGGTGAAGAGACGGGACAGGGGTGAGAGCAGCCGGAATGACGGTGAGAGCACGGCCATGCACCTTGGTGTACTTTTGCCAGGGATCATGGCCATCTTGACCAAAAATGTAGCCGCCATCGGCATTGAGACAAGAGCACGGCCATGTGCATCTTGGTATGTTTTACAAGGGATTGTGGCCGTCTGAACCAAGAATGCAGCCGACATCGAAGAGAGATCACGATTCCTGCATAAATTGCCGGGAATATCCAGCGAAACAGCTGCCGGACCAGGCGGTCTAGGGCTCCCGCGTGCACCCTGTAGCTCCTCTGCCGTCCTTTCTTGCCTCCACTAGAACCATCTAGCGAAACGCCATCAGGACAAAAACCAAGCCTCTTTGAAAAGGCCTCCCAGACGGGGTCGGAGTAGATGGGGTCGGAAGATCGCGCCGCATCGCCGATACGTCACCGATGTATTGGCAATCCACCAGCAACGTCGGCAATGCATCGGCGACGTCGACGCGGATAAAATCGGCCTCCACATCGAGCCGCATCGCCGATGCATCGGCGATGCGGCGGCATCCTCCAACCCGATCTGCTAGGTCTACGATCAGGAGCTTTTGCATAGCGTGTCGCGGCGGCGGGGCTGGCCGCGCCAGCATCATCAGGTGCAGACTCGTCCGCCCCTGAATGGCCTGTTCTTTCCCACTCCGCGGCCGCCCGCCTCCCCTTTTCCCACTGTTGCACGCTGGCCAGTCCGCTTTTCGGTGCCCCCGTCTAGCTCCTTCGCTGGTACAGCCAACTCTGCCTCGCCGCCGGCGAAAAAGTCGCGGCGGCGGCCCCAGCGACACGCTGTTCATTGCGAGCGGACAGCGTGTCGCCCCGCTCCGCGGTGCGGGAGGATGGGAACAGCAGCTCGGGACTTTGACGCCTGGGGACCGGGAAGTGGATATCGTGTCGCGCCGAGGCGTGGTGGCCCAGAATCCGCGGAGCGACACGTCATCCAAGGGTTCCCGACCGTAGGCTTTGGCCCCCGCTGGACCTCCAGCACGGGGGAAACGGGTCCCGAGGGAAACGGGTCCTGGACCCGGGGGCCTCCCACCCAGACGAGTTCTCCATCCCGAGCCGTTCTCTGACGGTCCCCGGGCCCGTGGAGGGCCCCGAGAGCCCGAAGGCGGGAAAAAACCTCGGGACCCGCTTCCCTGGAGGGCTCCCAGATGGATTCCGAGTAGATGGGGCCGGAGGATCACGCCGCACCTCCGATGCATCGCCGATGCATCGGCGATGCATCGCCGATGCATAGGCGACGTCGGTGAAGCATCGGCGACGTTGGCGTTGGAGAAAATCGGGTTCCACAGCAAGCCGCATCGCCGATGCATCGGCGATGCGGCGCGATGCCCCGACCCCATCTACTCGGACCCCATCGGGGAGGCCTCGAGTCCCTCCGGACCCGCTCTCCCCCTGGCGAAGAGGTGTTGGCCCCCACTGGCGTTGTCGGCTACACGCAAGAGCGACACTGGGTAAGAAGGGCCTCTGGTGCGCGGCTTTTCGGGGGGCCGCGGGGGGGGGACCAAACACGAGCGCGCAAGACGCTACTACCTCGTCGCGCTCGGCGATTGAGGGACCCCAATGGGCCCGACCGAAGGTCACTCAGGCGAAGGGTCACTATTACGTATAACAAGACGCAGCGGATTGCTTGGATCTCCGCTGGACCCCCCTCATTTGCGCGCAGAGCGCGCCAGGGGCGGCGCCGGAGGCGCTGCCGGGGGGCCCAGCGCGGATCCAAGAAACCCGCGCGGAGCGCCAAAAGTTTATGTTTATGTCGTTTGTCTTCTTCCAAATGATCCGATTCCTTGGCAGCACCTGCCAGGAAAATGCCTCTACATCCCCAGGCCCCACGTCCTGGTCTGAGCCCTCGCGGCGCTCGACCCCCGTCCTTGGGGCCAGCTGCTCGTCGCAGACCGTAGCGTGCTGGCCCCTGAGACGCTTTTCCGCAACGCTGGAGGTCTGGCTTCGCGGCGTCGGCCGTGGACGCCAAGCGCCGATCAGCTTGCATCATCGAGCCCATCGGAACGAACCCTGTCGGTGCAGACGGGGGATCGCCCTTGGAGGTGCACAGTCCAGGCGATCGATGCATGCGCAAGCGAACCGCGCGCCAGAGAGGGGGGCCCAGCGCGGATCCAAGAAATCCGCGCGGAGCGCCAAACGTTTATGCTTATGCAGTCCCACCTGCCCTTTTGGGCGTAGGTGGTCTAGGGTGTTTTGTCTTCCATCTGCCCCTCTTCCCCTTCGGGGAGGGGTTTACCCCTTTCCCCACCCGCTCCCATGGACCTGGACGAGGCCGGTCACGAGGTTTCAGAGCGTCCACAACAGGCCTCGGCGAGGAAACCAAAATCATTGGTTGAACCAGGGTTTGGCCCCATGTTGGCCTCTTGTGAGGGGAGGGCGACTTACGTGTACTCGACGCTGGGCATGCTCCTCCTCCTGGCTCCTCCTCCTCCTCCTCCTCCTCCTCCTCCTCCTCCTCCTCCAACTCCTCCTCCTCCTCCTCCTCCTCCTCCTCCTCCTCCACCTCCTCCTCCTCCTCCTCCTCCTCCTCCTTCCCTCCTCCCTCCTCCTCCTCCTCCTCCTCCTCCTCCTCCTCCTCCTCCTCCTCCTCCTCCTCCTCCTCCTCCTCCTCCTCCTCCTCCTCCTCCTCCTCCTCCTCCTCCTCCTCCTCCTCCTCTCTCCTCCTCCTCCTCCTCCTCCTCCTCCTCCTCCTCCTCTTCCTCTTCCTCTTCCCCTCCTCCTCCTCCTCCTCCCTCCTCCTCCTCCTCCTCCTCCTCCTCCTCCTCCTCCTCCTCCTCCTCCTCCCTCCTCCTCTCCTCCTCCTCCTCCTCCTCCTCCTACTCCTCGACTTGCGTGTACTCGACGCTGGGCCTGCCGGAGGGCGGCGGATCGGCCGGCGCGCGGCGGCACAGCACCGAGAGGGGGCGCCACGGCCCCGCCGCCGCGCCGCGCGGCGCAGCCGCCGCGGCAGCGGCCATGGCGCGCTGGCAGCGGGGGGGGCGCGCGGCGGGGGGCCGGGGGGGGGCGCCGCCCCCAGGCCGCCGGGGGCGGGCCCGGGCGGCACCCCCCTCCCCAGAGCTTCTTGTCGAGCCTGAGGGGGGGGGGGGGGGCAGACTGAATCGCGGACGCGCTTGCCGTGCTTTGCCCACGCGTCCACACGGATGCACGGCTCAGTGGTGGTGGTGGAGGGGGGGAATGCTGGGAGAATGCTGAAGGATGCCAGGTAGCAGCGAGGCCACAGCTGGACTATGATAATAGTTACCCCCCTCGGGGTGCGGGTCTCGACAGCAAGTTATCTCCGAGACTTGGGTTTCACAGGATTTGATCACGCTGGAGCCTGCCTCAGCTTGGAGGCGCCCCACTCCACGCCCCTCTCCGCTCCTTCTGGGAGGGATGGGCCACTTGTCATCTTGGGGGGGTCCCTGGCGCAATCGTTTCAAATAGGGTTAGGTCGGGCATGTCCTCCTACAGGCGGATTTTGGATGAATTATAGCCGGAGTGCAGTATCCCCAAACAGGGTTTTTAGACCCACTGCGGTTTCCAAGGTCGATTGCATGCCCGTCCAGTGCGGGCTGGCATGGCATGTGAAACATGCCTCCTCCTCCTCCTCCTCCTCCTCCTCCTCCTCCTCCTCCTCCTCCACCTCCTCTTCATCCCGAACGGCATCTCGGAGCCCAGAGTTGCGAGGATGTCTCAGGCGTAACGGGTTGGACCGCCTCGCGCGCGGCATCTCGGACCCCAGAGTTGCGACTATGTCTCGGGCGAAACGTGCTGCGAGGAAGTCTCAGGCGAAACGGGCCGGACCACCTCGAGCGCAGCGTCTCAGAGATCCGAGTTGCGGGGGCCTCCAGGGGCCTCCTGGGACCTCCTGGTGACCTCCTGGGGCTTCCTCCTGGGCCTCCTGTGGACTCCTGGACCCCACCTGGGGCTTCCTGGAGACTCTTGGGGCTCCCAGGGGGGGATATCTAACCTGTGGCCGTTTGGGCCCCCCAAAATGGAAGGGAGGGGGGGCCACAAGAGCAGGAAAAATCAACGAATCGACACCAGATGTGTATTAATTTGCCACGTTCTGATAGGGGGCCTCCTGGGGCCTCCTGGGAGCCTCCTGGGAATCTCCTGCGGACCCCTGGGGCATGTCCTGGGCGTCCTGCGGCTTCCTGGAGCTCTCTGGGGCCTTCTGGGGCTCGCAGGGTCCCAGGGAGGATATGTAACATGTGGTTTTCTGGGCCCCCAGGCTGGACCAACTCTTGCGCAGCATCTGAGAGCTCAGAGTTGCGAGAATGTCTTGTCGAAACGGGCCGGACCAACTTGCGCAAGGCATCTCAGAGCTCAGAATTGCAAGGATGTCTCAGGCGAGATGGGCCGCCGGACCACCTCGCGCAGGGCATCTCGGAGCCCAGAGTTGCAAAGATGTCTCAGGCGTAATTAATGGGCTGGACCATCTCGCGCGCGGCATCTCAGAGCTCAGAGTTGCGACGATGTCTCGGGCGAAACGTGCTGCGAGGAAGTCTCAGGCGAAACGGGCCGGACCACCTCGAGCGCGGCGTCTCGGAGCTCAGAGTTGCGTGGGCCTCCTGACGCCTCCTGGGGCCTCCTGGTGACCTCCTGGGGCTTCCTCCTGGGCCTCCTGTGGCCTCCTGGACCCCACCTGGGGGTTCCTGAAGCCTCTTGGGGCTCCCAGGGGGATATCTAGCCTGTGGCCGCTTGGGCCCCCCAAAATGAGGGGGGGGGGGGCCACAAGAGCAGGAAAAATCAACGAATCGGCACCAGATGTGTATTAACTTGACACGTTCTGATAGAAGCCTCCTGGGGCCTCCTGGGAGCCTCCTGGGAATCTGCTGCGGACCCCTGGGGCCCGTCCTGGGCGTCCTGCGGCTTCCTGGAGCTCTCTGGGGCCTCCTGGGGATCCCAGGGTCCCAGGGGGGATATGTAACATGTGGTCTTCTGGGCCCCCAGGCTGGACCACCTCTTGCGCGGCATCTGGGAGCTCAGAGTTGCGAGAATGTCTTGTGCGAAACGGGCCGGACCAACTTGCGCACGGCATCTCAGAGCTCAGAGTTGCAAGGATGCCTCAGGCGAAACGGGCCGGTGTCTCGGGCGAAACGTGCTGCGAGGAAGTCTCAGGCGAAACGGGCCGGAACACCTCGAGCGCGGCGTCTCAGATCTCCGAGTTGTGGGGGCCTCCTGGTGCCTCCTGCGGCCTCCTGGGGACCTCCTGGGGCTTCCTCCTGGGCCTCATGTGGCCTCCTGAACTCCACCTGTGGTTTCCTGAAGCCTCTTCGGGCTCCCAGGGGGGGGGATATCTAACCTGTGGCCGTTTGGGCTCCTCAAAATGGAGGGGGGGGCCACAAGAGCAGAGAAAATCAACGAATTGGCACCGGATGTGTATTAACTTGACACGTTCTGATAGGGGGCCTCCAGGGGCCTCCTGGGAGCCTCCTGGGAATCTCCTGCGGACCCCTGGGGCCTGTCCTGGGCGTCCTGCGGCCTCCTGAAGCTCTCTGGCGCCTCCTGAGGCTCCCAGGGTCCCAGGGAGGATATGTAACATGTGGTCTTCTGGGCCCCCAGGCTGGACCACCTCTTGCGGGGCATCTGGGAGCTCAGAGTTGCGAGACTGTCTTGTGCGAAACAGGCCGGACCACCTGGCGCACGGCATCTCAGAGCTCAGAGTTGCGTGGATGTCTCAGGCGAGACGGGGCAGACCACCTTGCGCAGGGCATCTCAGAGCTCAGAAGTTCGAGGATGTCTCAGGCTGGCTTCCAGGGTCCCAGGGAGGATATGTAACATGTGGTCTTTTGGGCCCCCAGGCTGGACCACCTCTTACACGGCATCTGGGAGCTCAGAGTTGCGAGAATGTCTTGTGCGAAACAAGCCGGACCACCTTGCGCACGGCATCTCAGAGCTCAGAGATGCGAGGATGTCTCAGGCAAGACGGGCCGGACCACCTCGCGCAGGGCATCTCAGAGCTCAGAAGTTCGAGGATCTCTCAGGCGAAACGGGCCGGACCACCTCTCGCGCGGCATCTCCGAGGTCAGAGTTTCGAGGATGTCTCAGGCGGAACGGGCCGGACCACCTCGCGCAAGGCATCTCAGAGCTGAGAGTTTCGAGGATGTCACAGGCGAAACGGCCCGGACCACCTCTCGCACGGCACCTCGGGGCTCAGAGTTTCGAGGATGTCTCAAGCGAAACGGCCCGGACCACCTCTCGCGCGGCGTCCTGGAGCGCAACTTTTCGAGGATGTCTCAGGCGAAACGGCCAATCCCGGCCAACTCAGAAACGAGAGTTGTGAGGATGTCTCAAGCGAAACGGCCCGGACCATCAAAGTTTTGTGAGGATGTCTCTGCTCCGACTTCCCTCGGCCGGAGTTAGCTTCTATCACAACAGCACCGCGTTCAGCAAGCTGTTTGGGGAAAAATAAAAGATATCAAAACATATTTATCCTGGCGAAGGACCCAACCACATGCAGTTGTGAATACCGCAATTGTAAATATCTTTTTCGGTGGAGCTCCCTATGGGGCCACGAAGCGCTGTACTGGGTGGGGCGGAACGCATGCGGGCGGTAACACAGGGGCCTTCGGTGGAGCTCCCCCTGGGGCCACGAAGCGCTGTACTGGGTGAGGGGGGTGCATGCGGGCGGTAGCACTGAGGCCTTCGGTGGAGCTCCCTATGGGGCCACGAAACGCTGTACTGGGTGGGGGGGGCGCATGCCAGCGGTAGCACTGGGACCTTCGGTGGAGCTCCGTATGGGGCCACGAAACATTGCATTGGGAGGGGGGACGCATGCGAGCGGTGACGCTGGGACCTTCGGTGGAGCTCCCTCTGGGGCCACGAAGCGCTGTACTGGGTGAGGGGGGTGCATGCGGGCGGTAGCACTGAGGCCTTCGGTGGAACTCCCTATGGGGCCACGAAGCGCTGTACTGGGTGGGGGGGGGCGCATGCGAGCGATAGCACTGGGGCCGTCGGTGGAGCTCCCTACGCGGCCCCGAAACACTGCACTGGGTGGGTGAAACGCAGGGAGGGGGGAGGAGGGGGCGGGGGGAGGAGAGGGAGGAGGGAGGAGGGGACGAGTCGGTATTGCGATCACGGCACTTGCCAGCAAGCAAACGTATGTGCCCCCCCCCGTTGGCAATGCTGCCGAAACGTGCAGGGGGGCTCCAGGGGCACTCAAGCAGACAGATACAGATCCCAGGATTTCCCCCCTGCCCCATTCAGTCAAAACGCTTTCATAAGGAACCCCAAATAAGGTGCGAGGCCTCTGCTTCCCACAGTTCAAACTTCGATTCCCACAGAAAACCTGAGGAAAGCCTAGCACAAGCTGCAAAAACAATCCAGGAACACTGAGCCCCTCCCCAAGCGAAAAGAGCTCCTTGCTCAGCGGCCCGACTGTACATTCGGGGTGCTCGACTTCCCCTCCACTTCCCGTATGCGCAGCACGTTTTCTGGCGAAGCGGCGATCACATTTGTGTCCGTGCTTACTCCAGATTTCGTAATAAAGGGAGGGGGGTCTCATTTCGGGGGGGGGGGGTCTCTTCCAGGCTATCTTGGAGGGCCTTGGGGGGTCTGGGGACGATGTGTTGGAGGGTTCTCCCACAGAGGGGGGTCTGAAATGGCTTGTCTTGGAGGGTCCAAACCCCCTCCCTTTTATTACGAAGTCTGGAGTATGTTTACCCCTCCTGATCCTCGGCGTTTCCCTCGGGCCCTGAGATCCCGGCGTCGACATGCTTGCGACATGCCCGAGCGGCCTCGCCCCGCTCTGGTGCCGGGGAGCCCTCGAGGTCGACCCGGCTCAGGGGACGCCACAGAACGACGGGGTCTCGGGGGGTCCCGTGACAACTCTCCACGGCTGTGCAGTGTTTTGCAACGTCGGAGCTCAGAAGCCTTTCCGAGCCTGAGGGGTGCTCGGGAGGAGGAGTAGGGAGAGGAGGAGGAGGAGGAGGAGGAGGAGGAGGAGGAGGAGGAGGAGGAAGAGGAGGAGGAGGAGGAGGAGGAGGAGGAGGAGGAAGAGGAAGAAACGGAAGAGGAGAAGGAGGACGGGGAGGAGGGGGAGGAGGAGAAGGAGGAGGAGGAGGAGGAGGAGGAGGAGGAGAAGGAGGAGGAGGAGGAGGAGGAGGACGCACGCCAACTCGAGTCCGAGCGAGCCGAGACAGGCACAAGAGATAGAAGAGCGGATGGAAAAGAAGAGCAAGCGCAGCTCGACGAGCGAACAAAGAGATGAAACGCTAAGCGGAACATCGAGGTACAACGCCAAGCGAATTATCGAAGACGAAGCCGGAAGGTGGCGTCGTCAGACGCTACGCGAGGAGCGGACGGGGGGGCCCCTTCCACTCCCCAGATATGGGCTCTTTGCCCTGCTCGAGGGCCTTTACATAAGTAGTGTCCTTACTGGATGCAATACCCGAGCACGGCCCCCAAAGCCTCGAGCGCGAGGCCGAGGGCTGGGCCCTGGCACCGCACCGACGACTGAATGCAAGGGTAGCCCCAGCAAGGACGATGTTATGACCCCGAGCGCAAGCTGGCCCTACGGGGCCTTGCGCGGGGAGGGGACAATCGGGTGGGGAAGCGTCCCGAGCGACCCAAGAGTCCCGAGGCAGGAGGAGGAGGAGGAGGAGGAGGAGGAGGAGGAGGAGGAGGAGGAGGAGGAGGAGGGGGAGGAGGAGGAGGAGGAGGAGGAGGAGGAGGAGCCGAGGCGGCATGGACCCTTATGCCCAACTCTCCATTACGGCGCCTTGCCGCGATGTCGGCCCTCCGGGGCCGTCTGCGGGCCCGACAGGGCCATCAAACAGCTAGCCGGGGCGCAAAACTGCGCCCAGGGCGAGGGTCGAGACCTCGATATATGCCTTTGCCTTGCCGCCGTCCAAGACAACGAGGGCGTCCTTCCACTCCCACGAATCTGGGGCGCAAGCTACGCCCAAGAGAAGGGTCGAGACCTCTTCATGCCTTTGCCTTGCTGCCGTCCCAGACAACGTGGGCGTCCTTCCACTCCAGGGACTCCTTCGGCGGCGAGCGAGGGGGGGAAAAGTGAGAAGGAGAGGGCCTGCTCAGAAGGCGGCGGGGCATCTCAGAAGGCCTCGCGCCTTCTGAGAAATTGTCCCTGTCTTCGGGGCAAGCTTAGAAAACGTCTCAGGAGGCTGGGGGGACTTCTGAGCCTTCGGAGAAGGCCCGCCCCTGCTCACTTCCCCCCTTCGCTCACAGCCAACTTCTCCATGAGTGGACGCATCATGTATACCGCCTCGTCCGCTTGGTACCCCAGTCGAAGGCGAACTGTGGGCTGCTGAGATTGCAGAAGAACGAACTCGCCAGCTTGAGAATGACCCTGGAGTTCATTTTGTAGAGGACCGCCTGCACGGCAACAGGCCTGCAGTCGCGGACACGGTCTCCAAACCTTGTCTTTTGCAAGAGCGTCACAGCATGGTCGCTCAAACACTTCTCAGAACACCAAGGTTCCAGATTGAACCATAGCACCCAGAATGAGCGGGCGAGAGCGGCCATCACGTCATCATCAACGTCCTTCAACAGATTTGCCACCAACATACAGCACATACGATGCGCAATTTCGCTTCAGAAACCTAAGGCCACATCTTTCGTCGTCCCTGAGCTTCGTGAGGTGCCCAAGGGCTCTGCGGCACCTTCGGAAGATCCGAACATCTCGTTGTGCACCCGTTGGCAGGCGAAACTCTTCCTTGATTCGCCGACCGCATCTGCGGCGCAAGTCTTGCCGCGAGGAAGAGCGTCGACGGTGAGGAACCGAACTCTATACCCCGGCGCTGTGTACGGCCCTGCACTGAAACTCGCACAGGAAAGCGGATCCTGGCGTGTCAGGGATCCTGGTGCATGCGTATTTCGCCATTTCCCGAGGAAGACGGGGAAACAAGTACACACCACACCACCCCGACGTCGTCCCCGACCGTCGAAAATCCTGGGATTGAAAGACAGCCCGCCACTGGTAATGTAAATGCTCCTATTTCCGAGATGGCCTCCAGGACCATGTGCCCCGTCAGGGTTGGCACAGCATCCAAAGCCGCGGTCGGCCACACGGCATGGACCCAGTGCGGAACTGTGCCGGGCGCAATCGTATCGGGCTGGGTCTCCGAGGACAGGCTGGCAGAGACGAGAAGAGAGAAGCAAGGAGGAGGAGGAAGAGGAGGAGGAGGAGACTGAGGAAAAGGAGGGGGAGGAGGAGGAGAGGAGGAGGAGGAGGAGGAGGCGGCGGAGGAGGCGGAGGAGGAGGAGGCCTCGGAGTCTGGTCCCCGCCGCGCCGCCACCGAGCTTCCCCCAGGGGGTACACTCGGCCTCCTGGTGGCCCTCCATGCTCGTCCTCGCCCTCGCTCTCGTCGTCGTCGCCGTCGTCCTCGTGGCCGCCGTCGTCGTCGCCGTCGTCTTCGCCGCCGTCCTCGCGCCCGTCGTCGTCGCCGCCGTCCACGCTGCGTTCACCGCTGTCCTCGTTGTCGTCGTTGTCGTCGTTCTCGTCGTCGTTGTCGTCGTCGTTGTCGTCCTCGTCGGCGTCGTTTCCTCGTCGGCGTCCTCGTCGGAGTCGACTTCCTCCTCCGCCTCCGCCTCCTCCTCCTCTTCTTCTGCCTCCGCCTCCGCCTCCTCCTCCTCCTCCTGCTCTTCCTCCTCCTCCTCCTCCTCCTCCTTCTCCTCCTCCTCCTCCTCTTCCTCCTCCTCCTCCTCCTCCTCCTCCTCATCCTTCTCTTCTTGCGCCCCGCATCGTTGCTGCCCCGCAGGGCCTCCGGCGAGAGAAGATGCGCGCCCGGGGCACGCGCGCTCTCTGCCTCGCTCGCCCCATGCTGCCCGCCTTCTCCCCCCCCCCCTCCCCGCCCCTCCTCCTCCCCGCCCCTCCTCTCCCCCCTCCTCCCCCGCCCTCCTCCTCCCCCTCCTACCCCTCCTCCTCCTCCTCCTCCTGGACGGATCGGGCACAAGCTCGGACCCCAGGACGGTGCGAGTTGGATGGGGGGTGTTTCTCCAGCAAGGGCCCCTCCCCCCGTCTACGCCTGAGGGCTCCTCGGACCCCGACCCTACCCCTGGGTGGTATGGTGGCGTCGACGGCAGACAGACTGTTCCAGCTGCTGAGTTGGCAGCATTGTGGTGGTGCTTGCAGCTCACGCAAGGAGAGTTGATTGTGTATACTGACTGCCAGTTTGTTTTTGACGGATGGGTCGGGGGCCAATTGGAGCGGCCTTCAGGGGCTCAGAGGCTCTGGTGGGAGAGAATCGCCCAGGCTGCCCAGGACCGACCAGGAACCGTCAGACTCCGAAAATGTTGCTCTCACTTGGATTCTGTGTCCCATGCGAGGCTCGGCCAAAGGGTTGAGGTGTCGCGCGGTAATGATATAGCAGATTGTTTGGCCCAGCTTGGGGCTCAGGAAGCCCATGCGTGGATAGGTAGCCAGGTCCGTCCTCTCACCCAGGGAGACGCGACCGCGACGCTGGTGCACCAGCGACTGGCCGCTGTCTGTGCCGATCTGGCTGCCGAGTCAGCCGACCAGGACCGCCCCGCGCGCGAGGCGCCCGAGGGAAGGGGGGGAGGCTGCTCGGCGGGCTGTCTTCATGGAGCAGAATTCAGGCCACAAGATGCAGAGAGTGGAGAAGCGTGGTTGGGTCTGTGCGGTGTGTCGTTTGGGCCCTGGCAGATCCTCGCTGGTGGACTGGCTCGAGAAATCCCGCTGTCAAGGGGACACCACGCTTCGCGCTCAGAGTGATGCTGGAACCCCCGTTCTCGTGCCGCCCCGAGCCGTGAGTGATATCCAGACTGCGACGAGGAGCGTCCATCCGACGCACACGGTTGCCATGAGGCACGGCCTTGTCTGGTGCTGGAAGTGTGCTCATTTCGGGAGTGTGGTTGGGGGAGGCTCCTGCTGCTTGCCAAGCCGTGTGATGAGAAGATTACCGAATCTGGGAAGCAGTATCTCCGTAATTTGAGGAACGGCAAGCCCCCTAAGCCAGGGAAGCCCTGGCCCATTCCCCCCCGTGCTGAGGACTGGGGGGTGCAGGGGGGCTTGACCGTCAAGAATTCATTTCTCACGGAGTCCCGTGACGTAGTTTACTGAGGGCCATCCTATCTGAAGGATGCGTTTGCCCAGCTGTGCCATCGGTGCTGACCTGGGGACCTGCTGTAATCTCCCTGGAATCTCCTCCTCCTCCTCCTCCTCCTCCTCCTCCTCCTCCTCCTCCTCCTCCTCCTCCTCATCCTCCCCCTCCCCCTCACCCTCCCCCTCCCCCTCCCCCTCCTCCTCCTCCTCCTCCTCCTCCTCCTCCTCCTCCTCCTCCTCCTCCTCCTCCTCCTTCTCCTCCTCCTCCCCTCCTCCTCCACCCCCTCCACTTCCTCCTCCTCCTCCTCCTGCTCCTCCTGCTCCTCCTCATCCTCCTCCTCCTCCTCCTCATCTTCCTCCTCCTCCTCCTCCCGACCCTACTCCTCCTCCACATCCTGCTCCTTTCTCGGTCCTCGATCCTCCTCCGTGCTCCTGGACCCTCCTCTCCCGAAGTGCAGGACGAGTGCCCCCCACTGTTTTCGGCCCTCGCGCCGACCGAGATCGCGCAACTCCCGCGCCAAACGCGCGGACAGCCACGGCGGCCGCGACCGCGTGGGCCGGCGCCCGGTATGGCGTGACCGCGACCCGCGGGGCACCGCCTGGCGTCTCCATGCCCCCCCCCCCCTCTGACTACCCACCAGACCACTCCAACCCAGCCCGAAGACCCGAATTGCGGGTTGGGGGGGGTACAGGCTTCATGTGTGTTTTTGTCCCATGTTCCCCGACCCCCCCCCGCCCCACTGGAAATGTGAGCCTTCGGAATCGGTTGGAGTGGCCTGGTGGGCGGTGACCGTCGGGCTTGAAATGTGAAGAAACCTCGGGCGATGAGGACGTCAAAGAGACCCGGCGGCGCGCCGAGGGCGAGGCCTTCTCAGAAGGCGCCGGGGTTTCTCGGAAGCCCCCCGGGCCTTCTGCGGAGCCCCGTGGCCCTCTGAGCCTGCCGAGGAGGCCGCCCCCCGTGCCTTCCCCCCCATCGGGCGCGCGCGCCGCCCAGAGGGGCGATCGGTGTACGTGGACGGCGCCCTGGCGCGAAGATCAGCAGACGATGGTGGGCCTTGTTTCCACCACCACAACCATAAGTTGGAGGGGGAAGGAGGAGGACGAAGAGGAGGAGGAGGAGGAGGAGGAGGACGAAGAGGAGGAGGAGGAGGAGGACGAAGAGGACGAAGAGGACGAACAGGAGGAGGAGGAGGAGGAGGAGGACGAAGAGGAGGAGGGGGGAAGGAGGAGGACGAAGAGGAGGAGGAGGAGGAGGAGGAGGAGGAGGAGGAGGTTAGGTTAGGACAGCCCCGAGGGGAAGAGTTTCGCAAGACTAAAACAAACAGTGGGGGAAGTGGCACCCTTCGGAGAGGGATTTGTTACCCTGGAGGACAGAGCTCCCAACACTCTGACCAGGGCCCGCGACGGGGTGCCACAACCCGAAACTACTCCTCGGCCTGGAGGGCCTCCTTGGCTCGCACTCGCTCAGCAAGGGCGGCCATCCGTCTCTCGTACTCAGGAAAGGTGGGGGCACTCGAATGGGCCGAGGGAACAGACGTACAGGCAAGAGTCTTGGACCGCGGCTTAGGAACCACAGACATTGCCGTGACCGCAGCAGCTCTGTCAATGAATTGACGGACACGACTACTGGGGCCCAGGCCTCGCGAGTACTTACTTAGTACCTCGCGTCCCTTCCTAGAGGGACGTTGGCACTCCTTGTCAAGATTACGGGAGCACCTCTGGGCCCAGCAGCCGCAACGAACACACAAAAACTGGAGCCTGATCAACTTGGTTTGCGATGGCTCTGGGGCTCTGGGGTGGATCTCATGAGAGGCCACACCAACAGTCAGGTGCCCCAGGGGACGGCGGACGACCAGACGAACGAAATCGGGGGCCCCAGAGCATCCCAGAGCCTCTTGGGGGGTACCCTCATGGGCGACCACCAGACAATGCTTGCACTGCGTACCAAGCAATCCACTCTCCCACTCGTGCCACCCAGGAGCAGACTTAACTGAACGGTGGCGGGCGAAGGGCCTGACGCGCTTCGCTCGGGACTGGAAGGCTGGTAGCACACTAGCAGCAAGTCTGACAAAATGCCTGGCAGTCTCTACTTCGGACTCTAGGCGATTGGCTGCCTCGGGTCCGATGGGAGCGTGCATCTTAAGAGCCTCCTTGGCGTGGAGGTCAGCAGCACGGTTGCCTTTCGCGGGCGCCCGCTCCACAAGCGGCAAATTATCTATCGCGCCCTCGCTTCGATGAGCTTTGACATGCTGGATGGACCTGATGCGGCCGTGTCCACTGAGAGAACGGGCGAAGGCCGACACGCCAGCAAACACCTTGCTCGCACGAAGCTGTTCGTGCTCAGGGAGGAGGGCCTGACTTATTGCTGCTTTACAATCGGCATGCACGTAGGCAGTGCGATCCGCGATCTGGCAGGCGACAGCGATCGAGAAATGTTCGGCCATCGCGGGGGACTGCGGAAAACCTCCAGGCACAGCGCCACGCACTACCGAAAGGGTAGCCTCGGCCTGGGGGTCAAACAATACTACAGCATACGCAGCACGCTGAAAACAAGACAAAATCGGCATGGTGCTGCTTCCGTCCACCGCGATATGTAGATTATCGCTATGACCGACAAATTGCACAGACTTCTCGGGCTCCAGGTCAGGAAAAGCCTCCCCAAGACCGTCCAGGACGATGGCCTCGGGGGCCCCTTTGACAAGAGGGATATCCCCTGGGAGCACCGAGACAACACCTTTCAAATGGAGAAGGCTTCCAGGGTCCTCCCGAGCTTCGTCCAGGAAATCCAAAGGCATTTCCGCCCCCACGCGGGCCTGGGCAACAGCTGGGAGCTGGCAACAGAAAAGCCGATGATGGGTGGTGTCAGGCTCACCGCATTCACATCGGCCAGCACGAAGAGCGGCATAACCATTGTCATGTGCAAGCTGTTCTGTCCACAGACAGTCGCAGACAGCAGCTTGCACTAAATATTTCTGGTACTTGTTATACTTGGTCTTGGACCTGAGGCAAGACCTGACCACGTCCAGGTTGGCCCTAACTCCTTCAGCAAACCCCCACTTCTCCCCGGGCGACTTCTCATGGGCAGCCTGGAACGCGGTGCTGAACATGTTACCTAGCATCGCAGGGGAGCATTGCGTGAGCTGGATGGTGATGCCATCCTGGTCGGTCCACTCAGTGGCTGACACAGGCTTCCACCTTACGCGAGCGAGGCAAAGCGGGATCCTGGAAATCGGTCCGCGAGTTTGGGCCCAGGACACGTCCGACTGAGCCTGGGAAAAAAACGCGGTCCCACATACGTTCTAACGCAGCAAGGCCTACGAGTGCATCATACGGGAAAGCCACAGCATGCCATATCATCTTAGGCCACTGGAGCGCGGGCGCCATGGCCTCACGCGCCGCGGGCTCACCGTGCAAGGCCAGCTTGGCGCGCAAGCTCGCACCCCTCGTCGCGGGCGCCAGGTAGGACATGGCCTGGCGGCGGATGGCGAGCAGCTCCTGGTCGTCGACGCCGTTAACCTCGACCCCGTAATGAGCTGCCATCTTGATGCCAGCGGTGTAGACTCTTCCGAGCCTCTCGTCGGACTTCCTCATGGGTTTGAGCTTGGCCGCCTTGGCCAGGCGCTGGGAGGTCTTCCTCAACCGCATCTTCCTCTTGCCAGCGGTGCGAGCTTGCGCCCGTCGCCGTCCGCAGGCGAAGTCCGCGCCGAGGTAGGCGACCGCTGGCTTGGACTTATCTTTGGCAAGGCCGAGCTTCGTGGTCACCTCCAAACCAAGGGCACTGTCGCTGGCCACTACGGCAACCTTATCGTTGAGAGTGGCCTGAAGACGTCTCGAAACTGCTTGGAACTGCATACCTGCTTGGATCGCGACGCCTGCAACGACGTCACGGTCATGGCCGCTCACGTGGACCCCAGTGTCGTCAATGTAGCTCATGAAATCAATCGACGGGTTGCGTCGCACAAACTTGTCGTACTCAGCAATCGTGAAAGCTCGAACCGCAACATCAGCAAATGCACAGCCTGCTGGTAGCCCGAAAGTGGCGAACAAGACTGTGCAACTGTGGTGCAAGCCCAGGCGAATGATACGCGGTGACTGCCACGTGTTGAAAATTAACTTGAGGATCGGCATGGGCATGCCGCAGGCAAGGAGGCGCCCACGTAATACCTCCAGCGGAATGCCCTCGTAGAACTTGCTGTAGTCCATCAGACTCAAAAGGCTATAATTGTTCTGGCTGACCTCAGCCTCACTGCGCGCAGCCTGGAGCCAAGACAGATCGAGTGCACGACGGCCTGCCAGGGCGCCCCAGTACGGGCGGCGCAGCTGCTGGTGAAGGCCATCGAGGTCGCGGCGACGTAGCCTCTGCCAGACGCGGTACATGCCCGAGTACAATATTATCAGACGGTGGCCCTGGTCAGGCTTCGCAAGCATGGGCATGACAATGAAAAATAACTGTCGAGGCAATAGACCAATCCGTTCGCACGCCTCGAACAACGCTGCCATGGTGTCGAGCGCAGTACGAGGAAGTAGCCCGAAGTGACGGGGATGCACTCGATCAAGACTGGCCGTTGTGGTGTGCGGCAAGCTGTTGGCCACGTCACGGATCATGTCCGCGCTGGCCCTGTCCATTGCCGACCTGTCAGGTGTCCAGGCTTGGCTCGGAACCTGGCTGGCATGCCAGAGCTTCTCATACTTGCGAACCTCGGCCTCGACGATGTCATGAGGATGGGCCGTAAGCCCTCCAGCAGTACGAACTACCGTGGGGTGAGGTGCATTGGGAACTCGGGTAGTGCGATGAAGTCCTCGTGCACCATTGGACGATGCCGCGTCGCACCAGTCCTGCCACCGTTGGCGATCATCCTTTACTTCATCCAGCTCGGCCTTCCGTGCATCAGCTGCGATGTCTCGGCGGTACTGCTCAAGAACTTCAGCAGCTCGGTGGCTGCCGCGGTGGATCCGAGGGGCGACGCAGGTCTCGAAATCATCGTCCTGGGCCACTGTTCCAGTCTGGTCCCCGATCTGCGCATTTATGCCAAAAAAATCGCCCTGGTCGATGTCAGGCTCGTCAAACTGATCAGAGAGCAGGCCATCAACTTGCAAACCTTCCTGGCCTGAGGGACCAATCACGGTAGCGTCCGCAGGGGCCACTTGTGAGCGTAGATGTGCTGTGGACGGTGCTGGTGGCGGGCCTTGGGCTCCAGCTGCACGAAGTAAGGCATTACCCATTGCGACTCGCGCCTCAAGAACACTGGCATCCAGACGTGCGCATAGACCCTGCCCGAAATACTCAGCGGTCGAAAACACATCCACCTCGGCTTCCAGACAGGGTACCGTAGTGTGCTTGAGCCTCATGAGCTTGCACAAATTGTCCAGGGACTGCGTAAGCCAAGTCCAGCCACGAGAAATCGCCTTGGCTTCAGCAACTGTCTCAGGGCGGTGGTTGTAGTCAACCCATCTAGCTTTGGGCGGCGCTCCCCACGAGGCGCTGCTGGACGTACACTGGCCAGTGACTGCACTGACCTCCTTCTCGGCGGCATGGGCGAACGTAGCCCACGCCCGCGACAAAATGCACCATGCTTCACGAACAGGCTTCTGGCGACTCGCATCGACAGCCGCCTCAGCCATCGCTGCGGGGTACTGCCAGTCAGAGCCTTCTCGTGCAGGACCAATGAAACGTTCGGTCCCATACTTCTTTGCCACCGTGTATACCATGTACTGCTGCCTGAGGCCTTCCGTAGAGAGGCCCAGTGAAATAGGACGATGAGGCCGCAGCTCATCAGACGAGAGAAATACGGAAGCGCACGGACTAAGCAAAACGACGAGCACGCTCACACCGAGACTGACCAACAGACGGCATCATCGGACATCACGCACGGTTTGCTGCCTGAGCGTTTCACGTCGACTGCTGGCAGGCTGCGTCACGGGAGAAATCGTGGCGATCGCTCCCAGTGGAGGAAGCGCCGAACCACGCACGACTACGACAGGATATGACAGACCGACCTGTTCCGCACTACTCTCAACGGTAATGGCTGGTGAGGATGGACGGCGTGCCCATTTCGCCACCCACCCACACACCCCGCACGCCGCCTCCCGCTTGCCCCTCCTGGCCCCGCCTGGGCTCCCACCCGGGCTCGCACCTGGCCTCCCGCCAGAACTCCCGCCAGATCTCCCGCTTGCTCGCTCACCCGCGGCCCTCCAAACTGACCGCAGCCGCCACTCCCGACGCCGCCCGAACTCACCCTGACCCCCCCCCACTGTGGCCCCTTGGAGCAGGTTTGGACAGGCCTACCACCTCCACCAAGGCCTTGCACCTGACACCCGCCTGGCACTTCGAAACCCATCCCCCTCCTCTTCCCCTCCGTCCTCCTCCTCCAACGGGCCGACGAGACGCCACGCACCTGACAATGCCGCAGCGAATGCGATGGGCCCAACCGGGACGCTTTCTCACGATGGCCCAGAGACGCCTCAGAGCTACAGAAACGTCTTGCCGTAGGTCGCCCCCGCGCCACGCCACCTCTGCCGCGACAATTTCGAACGTGCAACTTCCGAAGCACTCATAATTACGGAAAGGGGCCAGACTCGCAGCAGACTTCTGAGCCCAGGTGGTTTAACGGGTCACCTGTTCCAGCCCACCTTCTTCCCATCCGGGCAGAGGGGGGTCCCCTTTCCCCTACCCCACGTCGCAAGGTTTCCCTGATGGGCCGTTTTCCACCACCACCACCACCACACACACACATATATATATATATCTATATATAGATATATATATATATATATATATATATGTAGGAGTGGGGGAGGAGGAGGAGGAGGAGGAGGAGGAGGAGGAGGAGGAGGAGGAGGAGAAGGAGGAGGAGGAGGTGGAGGAGGAGGAGGAGGAGGAGATCTCCCCCGTCCTACCCATGGTGGTGGTGGTGGTGGAAAATCGGCCCATCCTCCCTCCACTGCCTGTGCCGTGGACTGGACGTGGCTGGTGCTCTGGCATGGCGGCCGCCCCTGGTCAAGTCCGCGACTGGAAAGACCAGGCGCACCGTGAAAGCCCGCGTCCGGCGAAGCCTCGGATCTGCAGGCCAGGGGCACAGCCAGGTGGCCCCAAGACAGGGCCCACAATACAACACGTGTTCTGAAGGGGGCCCGGGGACACACCAATAGATAGACACGGATCCCAGGTTTCCCCATAGTTTCGCAGATGTTCTGGGTGTTCGTCTTCCACTCCCCCCACTCCCCATAGTTTCCCATACGTTCTGGGGAATCGACGATTCATTGTGTCTGTGTGTTTTTGCTCCCTCCTGAGCCATGGTCTCCTCCGCCTCGCGGGCCAGGCCCCTGGGCCGCGCCCCCGCAGGCACGGGCCGTCTCTTCGCGGGTGCCCCGCGCGGAGCGTCTCCGTGCGATCGCGCACCCGCGGGCTCGCACCCTGGAATCCGGACCGCGATGGCTCGGACATGGACACGTCCGCCGCCCGTGGTAGTCGACCGGTATCACACGGACGCACGATGATGATGCCAGGGCCTGAGAAGGCCGTGTCGGCGCTGGGCGAGCGGGGCGCGGCCGGCGAAGGCGGTCAAGGATGGGCCGAAGGAGGAGGGCCGAGGATGGGCTAAGGATGGGCCCTGCGGGGGTACGGTCAACCCGTGAATTGAGGATGAAGGATGCGCGGCGAGGATGCAGGGGCCTTTTGCGCCATGCCGGGGCTCTCTGAGCGGGGCTGGCCGTCGAAAATGGTTTAGGATGGACCGAAGATGACCGAAGAGGCAAGGATGCAAGGGTACCGTAGGGAAGGTGACCATCCTTACCATGCGGGTTGACTGTACTCGGAGAACAAATGACGGCAAGAAGATAAACTTTCGAAGGGCCGCGCGGGACTCTTGGATCGGCGATTGAGCCCCCCCTGGCGGCACTTCTGGCGCCGTCCCTGGCGCTTTCCGTGCGTCAGGGAGGGGGTCCAGCGCCGGTGCAAGAAAACCGCGCGGACCTGCGAGAACTTATGTTTATGCAGTTTGCGTGTTCCTCCAGACCACCACACGATTGGACTGGGCCGCGGAAAGACGAAGAGCAAACCACGCGGGCCGGCTCTGCACAAAAGCAAACCCTGCTCTCCCTGCGGGCACCGCGCTGACCCGTCGTCCGAGCCGCCTCCGGCCATGGCGACGAAGAAACTCCCCCGAAGGCCAGAAAACGTCGAGGAGAACGAGGAGGACGATGACAGCGACCTCCCGGCAAAGCGAAGACGAAAGCACTTGAAACAGTCAAAAATCGCGGTTCCTTCAGGAAGCTGGCGTGCTCTTAGGCACTGGCCGAGATAAAAGCTAACGGTAGGAAGCCGCCGTTCGCTCATTCGGACGTTCAAAGAACTATGAGAGGTTCTGGGGGGATCAATGGATCCAGGCCGCGCTTATCCCCATTGACTGTTTTTATTCCTGCGTCCTTCCACCTCTCCAATTCGCCTCCGTCCCTATTCCCGTAGCTCCATTAAACCATCGTCGGCATCATCATCATCACCACCACCATCACCGCCACAGAGGTGTGTGACAGATCGGAGGCACAGGGGTAGAATGACCATCATAAAAACTGTTTGCGATCTTCGGTCACGCTCAACACTTGGCCCATGTATAAGCTATTTGAGCAGTCACTTGCTCACACGGACATGTGCGGGCAGGAGAAAGGCAAGCTTTTTTCACAGAAGGTTTGAGTGCGATGTCTGACTCCTGGAGAGACGTAACTGATGTTCGCCTTTGTTGCTGCAAACCGCTCGAAGCATCAAGGCCTGGAACCAGGATGCCAAGAAGTTCGCTGCCAGCTTGCTGCCCCATTCCCGAGGGAGTGTGTCTGTATGTGTCTATGTGTCTATGTGTCTATGTGTCTATGTGTGTATGTGTGTGCGTGTGCGTGTGTGCGCGTGCGTGCGTGCGTGCGTGCGTGCGTGCGTGCTTGCGTGTGTGTGTGTGTGTGTGCGTGTGCGTGTGTGTGCGTGTGCGTGTGCGTGTGCGTGTGTGTCTGTGTGTGAGTGAGTGAGTAAGTAAGTGAGTGTGTGTGTGTGAGCGTGAGTGTGTGTGTGAAAGTGAGTGTGAGTGTGAGTGTGAGTGTGAGTGTGTGTGTGTGTGTGAGTGTGTGTTGTGTGTGTTGTGTGTGTTGTGTGTGTTGTGAATGGTGTGTGTGTTGTGTTGTGTGTGTTGTGTGTGTGTTGTGTGTTGTGTGTGTTTTGTGTGTTGTGTGTTGTGTGTGTTGTGTGTTGTGTGTGTTGTGTGTGTTGTGTGTGTTGTGTGTGTTGTGTGTGTTTGTGTGTGTGTGTCTGTGTGTGTGTGCGTGCGTGCGTGTGTGCGTGCGTGCGTGCGTGCGTGCGGTCGTGCGTGCGTGCTTGCGTGCGTGCGTGCGTGCGTGTGCGGGTGTGTGTGCGTGCGTGCGTGCGTGCGTGCGTGCGTGCGTGTGTGCGTGTGTGCGTGTGTGCGTGTGTGCGTGTGCGAGGGTGCGCGGGTGCGCGGGTGTGCGGGTGTGCGTTGTGTG